GCCACGCTTGTCCCTGCAGCTGTCCCAAGCTAGCCAGCACAGGGTTGTGGGTGATCGCCGTCTCTCTGCAGGCGTCCCCACGGTGTGCACAGCTGCGTGGACTGTGGCCAGGCTCTTTGTAGAGGACACAGGGTGAGTGCCGTCCCCGCGCAGTGAGGTCCTCCGGCATCCAGCTGTTCCGTGCAGGCCGGAGCCACAGCCGCCACGTCAGACCCCTGTTGCGGGGTTTTCGTGGGACTGCCCCGCCCCTCCCGGCTTCTGCGGCTGCGCCAGGGTTTCTGTCCCCGTCAGTAGTCTGTCCTGTGGAGAATGAAACAGCGACCGCTAGACAGGGACCGAGGCCCTTGCGGCCTCTAAGCCGGCGCGACTGTGCCGCTGGTGCAGTGTGGGCGTCGGGGGCACCGTGGCCCACGCGAGGCGGCCCAGCAGAGGGGCCCGTGGCGTCCGGCAGCGCGGTCAGGGGTGAGGCCGTGGGCGGTGGCCTCCGGTGACGTGGTCCGTAGAGCCAGCGGCAATGTGCTTTTCGTCCTCTTCCCGACAGCTGCTGGGACAGCAACGAACACAGTGGCCCCTGGTGGGTGATACGAATTCCGATTCTCTTTTCTATCGCGGTAAGTGGCGTCCACGCTGGGCAGCATGCAGGCCACATCCCGTGGGAAAAGGGGGCTGCTCTGCTGGGCCTTCGGAGAGGCGACCGGGAGGGGGCAGAGCCGGAGCCCGTGCTGTCCTGGGGGGCGGCGCGTCCAACAGGCACAGTTAGGCTGACCGAGAGGCCACGTGCGGGCTGCTGGGTCCGTCTGCGCGTTTCGCATCTCAGAGTGAATTCATTCACTTGCTGCCGCAGCCTGCACGCCGCGGGGCCCGGCCGGGGCGCAGCCAGGCTGGCAGGGCTGCGGCCTCTTCAGACCGCAGGGCCCGGCCCCGTCCTCGTTGGGGCTGGGCGCCAGACACCCGACCACACCCCGTCTCCCCGCGCAGGTCAATTTTGTCCTTTTCATCAGCATTGTACGAATTTTGCTGCAGAAGTTGACGTCCCCAGATATCGGGGGCAACGAGCAGTCACAGTACAAGTGAGTGTGTTTCCGTGGGTGCTGAGCCGGCCTCACTGACCGCAGGCCTGGGAACCAAGAGCAGGGGACGGAGCAAGGGTGGCCGGGCAGGGACCGGGCGCCAGGCCTGGGGTCCTGGGTCGGCGCTCCCAGCAGTGGCCGGAGTTCATGCGGTGCGGGGGCGGCGGAGGCAGTGACTCGGGCACGGGTGTCCTTCATCGGGCGTGCGGTCCCGCAGACAGCCGGCTTGTTGAGCTGAGACGTGTGGGATCCAGAACGGGGTCACTGCAGGACCCACAAGTGGACCCGCTGCAGCCAGGCCCATTTCCTGTCCTGATGTAAAGCTTGCCTCTGCCCTTCAGACGCTGGCGACGGGTCCAGCCACAATACCCAGCGAGAGCTGGCCTCAGACCAGGCTGTGGCTGGCGAGCTTGTCGGAGTTTCTTGCAGGAATCCGCTGCGCAGTGAGGTGGCACGGTCCTTACTGCACGTGCACTTTCTGCCCGTGTTGGGGGTTGCCTAAACCCCCGAGAAACGGGGCCAGCCTGCTGAGGCCCTGGGCTCGTGCGGTCGGCATGCTCAGCTGTGTCCTCCCCCTGGTGCAGGAGGCTGACCAAGTCCACCCTGCTGCTCATCCCCCTGTTCGGGGTCCACTACGTGGTCTTTGCCGTGGTTCCCATGGGCATCTCCTCCAAGTACCAGCTCACGTTTGAGCTGTGTGTCGGGTCCTTCCAGGTACGTGCGGGTGGGGCTGGCCGTCCCCGCGGGCGCGAGCGGCCTCCGATGACCCTTTCTCGCCCGCAGGGGCTGGTGGTGGCAATTCTCTACTGCTTCCTGAACAGTGAAGTAAGTTCTCGTCACGCCTCGGGAACCACGCACACATAAGCAGTTTGGGAGGGAGTCCCCAAACTGCACCTGGCCAACACTGAGAGCCCATCTTCCGCAGGCCAGCCCCCCACCTCCCACACCGTCTGCTCAGGAAGGCTCCAGCGGTGGGCACACGGTCACCCATGTGCTCCCCCGCAGGGCGAGAGCCCCAGGGCGGGGGGGCAGGGGTGCCGGTGGCCCCTCTGTGGCCCTGTCACCCGTCTCCCCGTGCCATCGTGTCACCGAGCGACGGTTGCCTTTCCCGCGCTGCGTGGCCCACGCCTGGCCAGCCCTCCGTTTCACGCCCTCGCTGGTCAGGGGCCATCCTGCCTGTCAGTCCAGATGCTCTTCCCGCCGAGTCCCAAGCACCCTGTGCCACCCAGCACCGGCAGTGAGAGTTCCGGGGACTCGTGTCCAGCAAAGTGAGCAGGGAGC